AATAAGTTACTTTAAAACTTTTGAAACGTTTTATTAAAGTTATGCACGTTTTATTAAAGCTTTTACAACTTCTAATGATTGTTTAATAAATAAACAAATTTTATTTAAATTACTAAAAAGTGTTATATATATATGATTTTTTAATTGTATAAACATTTATTTTTTCCAAAAAAGTTGCAAAAAAAAAAAAAAAAAATTGCTAAAAAAAATACTGTAGCCTATTTAAAATAGTAATTTTTAATCATTTTCATGCTCTGGTTAGTCAAGTTAAAAAAAAAAAATTTAATCTTTTGTAAAAATAGAAACAAAAAAATAAAGCAAAAAAATCATTCCATTGAAATGGAAGATTAAATTTAACTTAATCATAATTTAAAGTAACTTAAAAAATTATCTTTCAAAAGATTTTTAGAAAGACATAAAAAAATTGTTTCAAACAAGTTACTTAGGTCATTAGAAAAGTTCGTAGAACTCTCCTATAAAAAAATAAAATAATAGAGTTTTTTTCAATTTATTTTTATTAAATGTTCAAAATAATGTCTATCATTATTAATACAAAGTTGCATCCTTTCAAGCCATTTGTGAAACGTTATTTTATACTCTTATTTGGGTATACTTTCAAGTAGCTTTGTTATGCAGGTTTTTTGGCGTTCGACGTCAGTATTGTCATCAAGATTTTTTTTTAATCAAGTTGAATAGCAAATAAAAGGGTGGAGCTGAGTCTGGTGAGTATGGTGAGTGGCGAATTTTTGTAATTCCAGCTTGGTTTTGACAGTTTGTGATGGTTTGAGTTACATGGGGTTGAGCATTATCATGGAGATTGTGAATGCCTGTTTTAGGTCTTTGCTTATTTATTTTGCATATAAGAGGTTTCAAACAATTTTTTATATAATATTCGCTAGTAATGGTGTCTCCCTTTTCAACATAACCCAAATGAACAACAGTTATTTTGAAGATGTAGAACATGCTTTTCGGCTGAAACCTTTTGCATCTTACTATAGTTCTTGGACTTTCACCTTCACTGACCCAACTAGTGTTAGCTGACTTGTGTCCAATTTTTCTCAAATAAAACCACGACTCATCCCCTGTAACAATATCACATAGCCTCTTAGAGCCGTTTCTGAAAAGGGCTAAATTTTCCATGCATTTCTCAACTCTATTCTTTTGATTTTGATCGGTTAGCTTGTGGGGTGTCCATCATGATGTTAGTTTTCTTTTTTTAAGTGCTTTGTGAATGATTTTGTTGATTGTAAAACAATTAATCGATGTCAGGGCTTTAATTATATTATTTGTTGCATGCGGATTTTTTTCAATAATAACTCGCACACGTTCGATATTCTCAGCTGTATACATGGTTTGAGGGTGCCCTGAGCAAGGATCATCTTCAAGACTCTCTCTACCATCTTTAAATAAAGTAGCCCACTTGGCAACTGTACTATATTTTGGAGCTTGGTCACCATGAACTAAAACCAATTCATCGGTTTTGGCTTGTGCTAAAGCTCCAAGTAGAGTACAGGTTTTAATATATGCTCGATATTCAAGTTTTATATTTTAACATTTTTTAATATAAAATATTTTTTTATATTAAGAAATGTTATGTTAAATGTTAAATGTTAAATGCACGCCATTCCTGTCAGGGTCAAAAAAATAGACAAATAAGAATTTTTGGAGCACTTATGAACAATCACAGTAAAATGATAAGACTCTAATGAATGACGAGTAACACAACAATGAATTTTTGTAGATGGCACAAGAGAGGTTAGCTCTTTAGAGCAGTGCCTGTTATAGTATTTGTATAAAAGAGAAAGAAAAGCAACATTACCATGTTGTGATAATGGTTGAAGGTTGACTGCAAGAGCAGGTCCAACTATGTTTACAATGCGTTTTTGCACCTTGTCTAAAAGAGGAAGGGCATCTTTCAAAGATCTGCCCCAGATATGGCAACAGTATTCCATACAAGGATGGATTTAATTTATAGAGATATAGAATAGAATACAGATTAAGAAAGTGTTGAGCATGTTAAAGAGACGTAACCTTAGCAGATGTTAATTTTGCAATAGACTTAATATATGGTTTCCAAGAAAGATCGGATGTAAGAGTTAATGCTAGAAAATTAAAGATAGATGACTTATTGAGTACATTACCATTCATAAATATAGGAAGATCTAGATTATTGTGATATTTATTTCAGTTAGCTGAAAAAAATTGGGTTTAATCTGAGTTAAAGTTCACCAGCCATTATGAGCCCCATGCCTTTACAGAAGTGAGATCTTTTTCAAGTTCAAATGCCCCCTCCAAACAATCAGAGAGTGTTGGCTTCTTATCAAGACAAGAATAAATGGTAGTATCATCTGTGAACATGTGTAAGTTAAAAAAAGTATGGGATCAAGGATAAAACCTTGAGGAACCTTTTTACACGTACATTATAGGTACAATGAAAGTACCTGTGCCCGCTGGGGTTCTATATTGTATAACTTATATTTAATAATATAGTAAATATATG